ACACCAGCGGGACACCGCGCGCCACCGGCCCCCGATCCGGACACCGGCGGGACACCGCGGGGCACCAGTTGCCGGAACGGAGTCTTTTGGTCCGGCCGCGCCTTAGCTACAGGAGACTTATTTCTCGCCCGCCCACGCAGCTTCGCCTCGCCCGCATGCACGGCACGCACGAACACGAAACCGAAACCGATTTCCCGGTAGGGGGGCTTTCCGTTCCACTTCGATCTCTCACCCCTCACATATATATATATAATTATATGTATATATATATATATACATGTACTTATGCGACCACCATTCCGGTGATAAGGAGGTTCGGGGGGGGGGAGGAACCAACGTCTCACTCGATCGGTCTCACTATCGATCTCACGATCGATCTCACTATCGGTCTCGCTCGATCGATCTCACTCGATCGATCTCGCAATCGATCTCACTCGATCTGTTTCACTCGATCGATCTCACAACTGATCTGACTATCGATCTCGCAATCGATCTCAATAGATCGATGTCACTATCGATATCACAATCGATCTCACATTCGGTATAACTACTGATCCCATTATCGATATCACGATCGATATCACAATCAACGTCACCATCATCATCAGCATCATCAACATCATCGTCATCAACGTCATCATCATCATCTTCACCATCATCGGGACACCACCATCATCATCACCTCATCACCGTCGTCATCATCATTGGGACACCATCATCGGCACCATCATCATCATCAACTTCATCATCATCACCGGCACACCATCATCTGAACACCACCAGCACCATCATATCATCATCGGGACACCATCACCATCATCATCAGCATTACCGACATCATCGTCATCAACATAATCATCATCCTCGGAGTATCATCATCGGGGCACCATCATCATCATCATCATCACCATCATAATCATCAACAACATCGGGGCACCATCATCATCAACATCAGCATCATCATCACCATCATTGGGCCGTCATCCTCAAAATTGTCGTCATCATGTCCTCATCATCAACATCATCATCATCATCGGGACACCGTCGTCGTCATCATCAGCATCATCATCGTCATCGGGACACCATCATCATCATCATCACCACCGTCATCATCAACAGCAACATCATCAGCTCCATCACCATCATCACCGAGACATTTCCATCAGCATCTTCATCTCCATCAAATCATATGGTCATCATCAACATCATCAGGACTAACAACATCATCATCATCATCATCAACATCATCATCAGGGCATCATCATCACCACCATCATCATCAGCCTCGTCAACATCATCATCGGGACATCATCACCATCACCACCATCACCATCATCATCATCGTCAACATCATGAACATCATCATCATCATCATCATCATCATCATCATTATCATCATCATCGGCACACCGACGGGACACCGGCGGGAAACCAGCGGGACACCGCGCGCCACCTCCCCCCGAGCGGGACACCGGCGGGACACCGCGGGGCACCGGTTGCCGGAACGGAGCCTTTTGGCCTTTTGGTCCGGCCGCGCCTCAACTACAGGAGACTTATTTCTCGCCCGCCCACGCACCTTCGCCTCGCCCGCACGCACGGCACGCACGAACACGAAACCGAAACCGATTTCCCGGTAGGGGGGCTTTCCGTTCCACTTCGATCTAACCCCCCCATCTCCGATATATATGTAGTTGCACCTATACCACCACCCTTCGGGTGATAAGGAGGTTCGGGGGGGGGAGGAACCAACGTCTCACTCGATCGGTCTCAGTATCGATTTTACTATCGATCTCACTATCGGTCTCGCTCGGTCGATCTCAATCGATCGATCTCACAATCGATATCACTCGATCTATTTCATTCGATCGATATCACAATCGATATGGCTATCGATCTCACAATCGATCTCACTATCGATCTCACAATATATCTCACATTCGGCCTCACTATCGATATCACCATAGATACCTATACCACCACCCTTCGGGTGATAAGGAGGTTCGGGGGGGGAGGAACCAACGTCTCACTCGATCGGTCTCACTATCGATCTCACTATCGATCTCAGTATCGGTCTCGCTCGATCGATCTCCCTCGATCGATCCCACAGTCGATCTCACTCGAACTATCTCACAATTGATTTGACTATCGATCTCACAATCGATCTCACAATCGATATCACCTTCGGACTCACTATCGATTTCATTATCGATATCACAACCGCTCTCACAATCAACGTCATCATCATCATCATCAACAACAACAACATCAACATCAACATCAGCATCATCATCATCACCAACATTATCATAATCGGGACACCGTCCTCATCATCAACACCAACATCATCATCATCATCACGGTCATCAACATCATCGGGACACCACAATCATCACCATCACCATCATCACAATCATCATCATCGACATCATCATCATCATCAGCAGCAGCATCGGGACACCGCCCCGCCCACCGGCCAGCGCGCCCCCCCGCCCCGACCTTTTTCATTCAGGCAAGGCACACCTCTCCGCACCGACACCTTTATTCTCTTGCACAGGGTGTCTAAAGCTCCGACCATTTTACGTCGCGCCGCGCCCCCCCCCCCTCTCCCCCCGCGCCCTCAGCGCCGGAGTGGGGCCCCCGCGCCGCGGCTCTCTGCCCCAAGCACCCCCGCGTCCCCGGCGCCCCAGCGGGGGCCCCACCCACTGCCCCCTCCGCCACGCACGCTTTATCCAGCGTCGCCCCCCCCCCCCCCCCGCCACCGCGCCCCAGCGCCAGTGTGGGGCCTCCGCGCCGCGGCTCTCTGCCCCAAGCACCCCCGCGTCCCCGGCGCCCCAGCGGGGGCCCACCCACTGCCCCCTCCGTCACGAACGCTTTTATCCAGCGCACCTCCCCCCCCCCCCCCCCTCCCGCGTCCCCAGCGCCAGCGTGGGGCCCCGCGCCGTGGCTCTCTGCCCCAAGCACCGCGCCCCCAGCGCCCCAGCGGGGCCCCCGCCCACTGCCCCCTCCGACACGAACGCTTTATTACGCGTCGCACCCCCCCCCTCCGCGCCCCCAGCGCCAGAGTGGGACCCCCGCGCCGTGGTTCTCTGCCCCGAGCCCCCCCGCGTCCCCAGCGCCCCAGCGGGGGCCCCGCCCACTGCCCCTTCCGCCACTAACGCTTCATCCCGCGTCGCGCCGCACACCACCTCCCCCACCTCCCTCCCCGCGTCCCCAGCGCCCCAGTGGGGGCTCCGCCCCGTGCCCCCTCCGCCCCGACAATTTTATTCCGCGTCGCGACGCACGCCACCTCCCCCCCGCACCCCCTTTTCCCCAGCGCCCCAGTTGGACCCCCGCCCGGTGGCCCTCCGCCCCAAGCCCCGCGCAGTGCCCCCTCCGCCCCGACAGTTTATTCCGCGTCGCGGCAACCCCCCCCCTCCTCTCCGCGCCCCCAGCGCCCCAGTGGGACCTCCGCCCCGTGCTCCCTCCGCTCCGAGCACTTTATTCCGCGTCGCGACGCGCGCCGCCTCCCCCACCCTCCCCACCTGGGACTTGGGCCCCGTTGCTGGGCCCAGAGGGCGATGCCTTGCCCCCTCTTCCCCCCTCCTCCTCCACCTCCACCTCCTCCTCCTCCTCCTCCTCCTCCTCCTCCTCCTCCTCCTCCTCCTCCTCCTCCCCCTCCCCTTCCTTTTTGTGCAAGAGCCATAGCACACGTGCCACTTGTTATTCTGGTCTGCGGTGAATACCCTCTCTGCTGGCCTCCCCAGCAGCCCTCGAAAGTGGCGACAGTTTCGCAGATCGCAGCCCCCCAGGGATGGCGCGCCATTATTCTGGTCTGCGGTGAGTACCCTCTCTGCTGGCCTTCCCAGCAGCCTTCGAAAGCGGCAACAGTTTCGCATATCGCAGCCCCCCTGAGTCCGCGAGGGGGAGGGAGGAGAGACTCGAAAGTGGCCACGGTTTCGCAGATCGCAGCCCCCCAGGGATGGCGCGCCATTGTTCTGGTCTGCGGTGAGTACCCTCTCTGCACGCCTCCCCAGCAGCCCTCGAAAGTGGCGACAGTTTCGCAGATCGCAGCCCCCAGGGATGGCGCGCTATTATTCTGGTCTGCGGTGAGTGCCCTTTCTGCTGGCCTCCCCAGCAGCCCTCGAAAGTGGCGACAGTTTCGCAGATCGCAGCCCCCCAGGGATGGCGCGTTATTGTTCTGGTCTGCGGTGAGTGCCCTCTCTGCTGGCCTCCCCAGCAGCCCTCGAAAGTGACGACAGTTTCGCATATCGCAGCCCCCCAGGGATGGCGCGCCATTGTTCTGGTCTGCGGTGAGTACCCTCTCTGCAGGCCTCCCCAGCAGCCCTCGAAAGTGGCGGCAATTTCGCAGATCGCAGCCCCCCCCACGTACGGCGCGCTATTATTCCGGTCTGCGGTGAGTACCCTCTCTGCTGGCCTCCCCAGCAGCCCTCGAAAGTGGCAGCAGTTTCGCAGCTCGCAGCCCCCCAGGGATGGCGCGTTATTGTTCTGGTCTGCGGTGAGTGCCCTCTCTGCTGGCCTCCCCAGCAGCCCTCGAAAGTGGCGACAGTTTCGCAGATCGCAGCCCCCCAGGAATGGCGCGCTATTATTCTGGTCTGCGGTGAGTACCCTCTCTGCTGGCCTCCCCAGCAGCCTTCGAAAGCGGCAACAGTTTCGCATATCGCAGCCCCCCTGAGTCCGCGAGGGGGAAGGAGGAGAGAGGAGGGGACGGGAGCGGAAGGAGAAGCGCAGGCGGTGCTCTATTCAAAACGAGAACCCAACACAGGAGGAGGAGGGAGGAGGGGAGGAGGAGGAGGAGAAGGAAGGAGACGCGACCCCACTTCTTTCTTCAAAACAAGAACCCAACCGAGCGGAGGGTTGGGAAAAAAAGGAACGAGAGAAAGAGAAAGGGGTAGGGAGGGAGACCCATTAGTTCTAAGAAGCTCGCCCTCCCACCATGGGGTGCGCGACGGGGCGGCAGCGGGATTTGGGCCTCCTGGCCGGGCTATGGTGCTTGTACCGAG